GCCTCGGCGCCCCGGCCTGCGGGACCACGGCGCTTGCGATTGAGAGAGGTGTTCTTATTCCTGCCTGCACGTATACAGAGTTAAAGCGAAGTAACTCCGCGGTGCTGAGGTACGGCTCTTGTTAGCTACCTCTAACTGCAGTTGCAAAATCTTAATAGAACATAAGTTTAGGATTTTGTTAATGCTGACTGATTGGGATAGTGCTCATCTCATTCTCATTTTTGTTCATAGTTTATTTCTCCTCCCAAGGCCGTTCCCTCCAAAGTTCTGGCTTAATAATTACATTAGCCACCTGAAATGTTTTGAAGCCTGTCAAACTCAAGAGGGACTCAACGGAAATTTTAAGTTTATTGTAAATCAATAGATTTGTAACATGAAGCCAGTATTTGCAAAAAAGCAAGATACACTGAAAATAACGTTATTTTTGCGGAATGAAGGGACAGGTGCAAATGGCATAAAAGCAAACAGGTATTTATGTTATTTTAGTAGTGCTTCATTCAGTCGTACTGAGCTATACTTGCAGAAAGTACCTATTAAAAAAAAAAATCAAATGCCTGGTGTCAAGTTGGAAACCTTGTAGCTGCAGGAGAAAAACAAAGGGCAGTTATTTTAGCGAATATTGCTGCATTTTCCCTTACTTATGTCTCTTTACATAAGAGGCTGACAGAAGGTGCATACGCACGGACTGGAAAGGCTCATCGATAGGCTGCGCTGGGTAGACTTGCGATATTTAAAAGCAGCGTCACATTTTCCTGTGGGACAAGGACTCGAGGCCAGCCTCTGCCACCTCTCGTCATTGCGGTACGAGTTGTCACCAGACGTGGTCAGAGTGCCTTTGCGGGTATTCTGAGGAGCGCTGCATCCTTCAGCCTCATCTGGAGGTGCGGTGTTACCTACTACGAGTCAACTCCTGGATTACACCCTCTGGGGCGTCCTCAGTGCTCTGAAGGTCAATATTCAATTAATGATTAAAATGAGAGAGGCACAAATGGAATTTCAGAGTTTAATACTCTGGAACTTCTCTGCTTAAAGCTATGTAATGCTTTGTGTTCCAGGGGTTTCTGGTGAGTGGAACTAAGTCAAGAATGGTTTGGGACACTTGATTCTATTTTTTCTTTCGTTTCTAATGGGAAAAGGGACATGCTATCAAGTATGTTGGCTAAATGAAAGAGAATAGAAAAGCACTCTTTGGTGAGTGACTGGTAATAGATTGGGGCAGGTGCTTAGTTTGATAGTAACTAAACCTATAATGTTCGAGAGCATAAAATATGAAGTATAAGAAGTGGGAAAGAAAAGAAAAAAAATTCTCAAAGGAAGAAATTATGCTGCTAAAAGTAAATAAAGCAGAGCATTTTTTCTTTCCAGTGTGGAAATGAATAGGTTCTTCCAGAGCCTATTGTCTAATGTTTGGGATGCTGCGAGACTAAATGATAAACATATGCTTACATGGACTTATTTTACTATTTGCTTCATTAATTTACATTAATCATAGAAACAGAAATTTTAATTAGAACTAGGGATAAAACCATATTCCTGCCAACATTTTTTTCTGTCTCAAGAAAGATTTAATATTAGCAAACGTATAGCACTGATTTTTCTGTTCTTTTATGCAGAATAGGTATCTCTTAGTGTATTGTGTGTAGCTTCAATTTCTATTTAAAATAGATTTACACAGCCTTCAAAGTTCATAATCTTCTTCTTTAATAATCTTCAGCATCACCAGCACAGATAGCAAGTAGAGCACTCTCATAATGCCCTGAAGCAAAATGCTGCAAGAAACAAACAAAAAAAATCAACATTTCTGTGACTTTATTTTTTCTTAATTTTTCTTCCCTTGGTGTGTGACAAGGACTAGACTGGTGTTGTAAGGTTTTCTAAAATACTATAGTGTTTTCATAAGGATTCTAGGCCAAAGTTTTTTTAATTCATGCTTTGGTTGCTTGGGCACCTAGAAACAATCTACCATTGAAAGGTTGGATCAATCCTGTTTAATACTTCTCAAGTTCAATACCAAAAAAACCACGAACAATTTCTTAGTTACTGCACATCTTACAGTTGGATTATAGCAACATAAAAAAGGTAAAGTATCTCAGCAAGAGTCATTTTTGTACAATTAAGCAGTGTCAGAGTTTTGTTTTAAGATACAGAGCAAGAGTACAAGTAGAATAGTTTTTCTGAAGGTTAATACTACCTAAGTGCAAGGATAAAACCAGATTTTTCTCAGTTTTTTGCACAAAAGTGGTATCAGCCTAACGTTGCAGGACAGGGTGAAAGAAGATGGTATCAACTGGTATCAACTAGTGCAGAAACTGTTCATCCAAACTATTCCTCAGCATACACTCTCTTGCACTGGTTATATCCTCTGCTTGCTATTGGGGAGGGACAAAATCACATAGAATGAGAGTGAGCTGAGAATTCACTGCTCACTTACTGAAGTCAGCCTGAGGCACTGAAAAGATATGCTATTGGTTTTATACTTTGTTGGGTTTTTTTTAAACCAAGTGATTGGATAGAGATTAACCCTTTGTATTTTTCTGGTATGGCTTGGCACAGTCTGTATGGTGCCAGTGCTGAATATATGCAAAAGTGTGTAAAAACTTACTTTTATATCATGAAAGAGTGATTTCCCATATCTCTCTTTGTATCGCTGTCGTATATTCATCAAGTCAATCTCACTCCTGGCAATGAGAATCCTTATAATTGTTTTATTGTGAAACCCAAAGTCCTAAAAAGAAAAGAAGATGAGAGGAAACTTGACAGTTGGACAATATGTTTGCCTATCTGTATATGCTCATATTAATGTTTAATAGATAAGCAAATTAATTAGGCTACCCATAAAGATAGCCTAGATTTTAAAGGAGGTTTTATCCTACAGAATTTTCACATGCTCAAATAGTAGAATTCATCAATAATAGAAATTCCCAGCTACCCATAAAGATAGCCTAGATTTTAAAGGAGTCTAAGCATTCAAAGGTTTTATCCTACAGAATTTTCACATGCTCAGATAGTAGAATTCATCAATAATAGAAATTCCCCGCATATCTGTGTTTTAACCTTGCACTGAAACTTTTAATACAAAAAACCTGAGGAACTTTTGTCAGCAGTCTTAGGTATTCTGTCTGTAGGTAGCTGTTGTGACTGTCGTTTTGGGGTCCATTCAAACTATACTGAAGCCAATAATCTATTTCACAACTGCTGCCCAATGTGAATTCCATGAGATTTTTAACTATTGATTTAGAACTTATATAGCTGGTATTCAACTGTGGTTTATTTTAACGTGTTTCGAAATAATTTTTCATATTGCAATCGTGTGGAGAATGAGGACATCTAGTGGCAGTAAAAGTAATCAAAACAGATTTAGTGGGTCGACTGGTGACCAGTTTAGATTGTTTGAAGCTAAATCATAATTTTATCGACCAGCCATTGATACTGAAATCTTGTTCTCAAAGAAACAAGTAATGAGATATGTTAAAAATCTGCATATAGAGAATTTGATGGCTAGATTAAAATCATTCTTATAAACCATTATGGACTATGATTTCAAGCATTAGAATCCTGTGTGGGTTTTACTATATTGTATTATAAATGGACTTATAAAAGGCTTTTGGTATAATCTGGACATAAATTGGCTGCAAAACCAGATGCTATTTTAAATTCTTGCATTTCTTGTGAGAATTATCTGTGTTCATTAAAACACTTTGTGGAAACAGAGTAAAATATTAATTAAATCAAAATGCAAATATTAATTCTTAATAATTAAAAACTTCTTCTTTCTGCATCACATATATCATCTGAATGTAACATAGAAGAAAACTATCCATGTGATATTTCTTAAAATAAAAATCGAGGGTTTAACCTGAAAAGCAGTCTTGAGGCAGGACCTTTGAGAAACATCACTTTTAATGATAGCTGGTATTTCCTGGTACTTTTGGCAAACCTTTTTCATGTCATGTGCCAGAATCCTCTTTTGACCACTCAGACAAAATACTGCCACTTCCTCTCAGCCCCTGGGATTTTCCTTGTTTCTTGGCTGCCACTG